AATATTTGTGGGAATGCTTTTTCAAGTATGAGGGATTATTGCTATCAGGTAAAACCTTATCAAACCTTTTGCCAAGAGGCTACTATTGGACAGAACTCTGATTGCATTTTCTAGGTTATGAGAATAAAAGGGAGGAAAAAAAAATCTCATGAATATTTTCCCCTTGAATTGTCTCTTTGAGACGTTATAAACACGTTGAACAAATCACAGCCTATTTTTTATTTAAGAATATTACTCACTTTTTTGAGCATTAATGCCAAAGTTTCCATTAAGAAGCTATGTTGTCAGAAAAAAGAAAAAAAAAATACTGCCTTCAATTTGTACCAAATTCATGTAGATTGAGCTATTTTTATGTCTTGAGACTAAAGTCCAAATTGGCTCATGTCAATAAATAAGCAGTCATCACTCAATCCATTTGACAGGTACTTTAGGAATATGCATATGAATGACCATTTTAAAATAGCCAAACATCTAGTTTTGTAAAAGCTGAATACTTCATCATACATTGACTAATATTAAATTTTCCTCTGATCACTCTTGGGAGTTAGTTTAAAATTAATTATTAAATTCTAATAAATCAAATATTATCAGCACAAATGATTCACTACAATTAGTTGAAACTGACATGAGATACTGATAAGAAACTGATAAAAGTAATGAAAATAACATGACTGATAAATTCCCCAAGAAGAGCAATGTCTTTAGTACACAGCTCCATTTTCATATAATTATTTTTTAAAAACATCATATTAAGTTCTTTCAGGACAAAACAGAGTACCTAGTACAGCTTCATATGATGTAGCTTTGGTTTCAGATGGGTTTCATTTCAACATGTGGGGATTTGAATGGTATAAATATTAATTGCATTTTAAAACAATGTGATTCGAATTTATACAAATAAAGTTTTGATTTTGGAACTAATTTAAGTGGCAAGTGACTTGCTTAACTGAAGTTTAGTTTCGTTTGTATTTCAGTAGATCTCTGTCAAATGACTGATTATTCTTCCTAGGTTTTTCAGAAGAGAATCATGAGCTCAGTTGCCTCAGATAATCTATGGTGAAGCCAGCACATGTGTTCACTGTTCTGTGGTGTTGAACCTTGTGCCCAGATCCCTTGGCCACCACGCTTTCCCCAACTATCCAATACTTCTACATATTTTTCTGTTATCTTTTTTTTAAAGGAGAAGTCATCACAAGAAACTCCTCCTATTTGACCAAAGTGATAATTTCCAGAATCTCAAGAACTTAATTTCTTTTCCATTTGTAGTAATTTTAGCTCAAAGTCACAATAGACACAAAGCAATTCGTGAGGGGTCTTCACCTGATATTAGCCTTTACCCATTATTAACCTTGGTGTCCTATACTAAGATTACACAATAAAATATTTTAGGTTGGTTGATAAATACTCAATAAAATCCACTTGTTGTTTGGATTAATAAAATTCCATATATTCTCATTATGGCTTCAAAACTCTGTAACATTTGTTTCTCAGTGAATTTATGTTGAACAATCCTACATCTGAGAGACTTTCAAAAAAAATCTCTGTTTCCATAAATGTATTCTGAGTCTCTGATAAAGTAATCTCTCTTTGCTAACTTCCTTTTGTCCAATTTAACATGTTCTGCACACTGCCATGAACGGAAGATTTGATAAGGATACAGATTCCACACTCAAACTCTGTAGCTTATATGAAATGACAATTACATTTTCCAACTCAAATTGCTAGCATAATAATCTTGTCAGACAACATAGTACTTGACATTATATCTACTTTTAACACCTCCAACGCCCTAAAATAATTAAGATTCCAAGTATGAAATTAAACTTTCTCTTCTTAGTGTGAAACCAACCTAATCATGGAAAACAATTTGTCATAACTTTGAAAAAATGACGGTATAAAAATACAGAGTCACACTTTTAAAATTCTGTGTGTGTGTGTGTGTGTGTGTGTGTGTGCAGGCGCGTGCATTAATTTTAAAACTGGTGACTAAACTTAATTTTATTTCTACTTCCTTGTTCACAACTTACTTTAGTCCTACTCTTTGGAAATTTTCTTTAGAACTGAGCTTTCATTCATAAAATGAACGTGACCTCATTCTATATTGTTTCAGTAAACTTGGTCACACTCTAACATACTCAACTCAATCACATTTATTAATGATCAAATTTGACTTCAAATATGTCAGTTTCTAGGGTCAATTCAACCAATTAAGAAGAATGAATTTCAATCACTGAGAAGGGGAATAAAAGGCCTGCAAATGGGAAGTATTTCTCAATTCTTTCACATCTGTGCACTGATGACCCCTTCAAAGAATTCTTTAAACTCTGTCCCCATTCAAGACCTTCTAATCCAGGAGTACATGGAGGTTTTTCCAGTGTAGAATCTTCCTCCCATGGCTATTCATCATTCTGCTGAGCCATAAATCCATTCTGGGAAGTAACAACCTTGTAGGCCATCTGAGAATGATTTATCCACATACTCATCTTTCTCAGTAAGCCTGAAACCACTCTCAGAACTAGCAAACAGGCAATGGAAACCTGCCACTAAATGATCCATCTCACCTTCTGACAGAAACTTGTCTAGTTATGAAAGCATACCACACCAACACCAGGAGAAACACTCCAGAAATATATCTCCCCATTTAACAAAAACCAACAGCAATTATTAGGTAAAATAGTCCCTGTCAGGACTCAGTTCAAATAATTCTTGCAACAATAACAGATTTTATACCTGATTTTTTCCCCCTGTGGAATAAATGGTCTTAATAAGGTGGCCATTAGCTTAAATACATGCACACTCAGGGGGAGAATTAGTTATGGTTCAGATGGGACCTGTTTCTACTAATGAGAGAAAGTGTAAGAAAAGTAATAGGATGAGGCATAACAATCCATTGCTTCATTCCACACCACAACTGCTGGCTCCCGACTGCTCTTATCAGGATTGGTTTTGCTCTGAATTAMTTAATCCAGATTGGGAAAAGACAGGCAGAACATCTTACATGACTTTTGGCATAAGTCCAGTAATAACAAGTGAATAGTAAGTAAATTAGCAGCTCTTCCAATATTAATTGGTGGATCTACAACTGACTGAGATGACTGATCCACTTTGTAGTCCCCTTCACCCATTTTATTACTGATAAAGAAATTGCGAGCAAGGCATCCACTGACCACGGAAACTTACCCAGCTGGTCAGAGATAAAGGTTGCAGTAGTACTGCTTTCCCTTTCATGCCATTTCATGCTGCTTTCTTGCGTAGTTACTTTTACAATGCCATCTGTACTTATGGACAAAAAGGTAGTTGCACATCAATTCATTTTCTAAGGAAGAAGCTTACTTACAATTCAGTTTCTAAGGAAGACCACTTACTTCAATCATCTTTTAGGCTTTCTGATCTGATGTCAAAAATGTTGAAACGCGACATAGGTGTGGACACAATGAATTTAATTATAAGTGAAATGAATGCCCAGGTCTATTATTATTAGTCCTGTGCCTTAGAAACTTGTAGGAGCATACCCACAATGTACTTTGATTTTTTTCATTGCCTTTTAATCCTTAATAACTTATTTCCTGTTTTTTTTTTTTTAATTCCCAAATGTGTATAAATACTCCTTTTTAAGTAGCTCCTTGTCAACAAAATTATATCTCTGATAATGGCAGTGAACTATTGCAAGAGTGAAGGGTCTTTGTACCTAAAGATAGCAATCCTTTCAGAGGAAGCAGTGGTAATATAACTTGCCAAAAGCCAACTGTGTTTGCTTATGTGACTAAACAACTACTCTTCWAAGTTCAGAGCGAGTGAGAGGTGCAATTTGTCATGTGTAATCACCTGTTTTCTCAGAAGAGAAACACAGTACCTCCCCCAACAACTGTTTCCCATTTCCCTCTGGATGAGGTGCAACAATGCTTTTTTCCAGCAGCATTTGGCTCTTGCAATGCATTTATATTTGTTTCAAATGAAATCCAAGAYGCTTACTCAATCACCTTCCTTGCCAATGGGGGTGATGCATGGGAAGAGATGTATAACCATAGAGTCAGACCACCTTTGGGGATTTTCATAGCACCAGTGCTGACCAATCTGAATTGTCAATCTTTATTCATGAAAAATGCTCCCTAAGGGAAAGAGATTCAGCTCTACAGTYGGAACTATAATAGATGTTGATTTGGTGTTGATAAATATGTGGAGTGTGTCGGGGGGGGGGGAACAATTCACAGAGAATCCGCCGTAAGTTCTATGTTTAGGCTTCATCCTTTATTAGGTAGTGAATAAAAGACAACTGATGCTTACAACTCCAATTTAAGAGACCATTTAAACAAAAATGGTTCCATGGCGAAGAGAGGCAGAAGGGATCCAGGTATTTCTGAGTTTTCTCATATGGCTGATGGAGAAAAATATGGCTGATTGGTTTGTTCCCAGCAAATCATTGAAGTTAGTGACACTCGATAACCCAGGACTCTGTGTATCCCACAGGCCCTGACTTCTAGTGGACTGGCTTATTCACTTTGGTGAAAATGGGGAAGAACAGCAAAAGCACATTATATAGTAAGACGGCTTTGATTAACATCAAATTCTCCAACAGAAACAGAGAGGCCTTATCAGATATAAAGATAGTTGGATCGAGATTCAGCATCACGATAGGAAAGATCAAAATATTTGACAGAGCAGAGAAAGGAGACCAAAGTCCAGGACGGTTAGAAGCAGGTCACATAGGAGAGACACAGAGCCCAAATTAACAAAACTCGTGAGTAACTAACTGTTCACCTGGCTGAATTAGCAGAGTCTCTAGGCGCAAAAAACCAAAAAAACAAAAACAAAACAAAACAAAAAAAAMCAAACACTTGATATAAAACTAGAGTAGAGATATTGGTAAATGCAAAATCACCAGATACTTGCAAAAACAAATTTAATGCTATCCAATGTGTTTAACCAGAGAGGCATGGCTTGAAATTCTCTTTACCAGAAGACTGATGGAGTACATTTTCTTATTCCCTGTCCTTCCTTCCTTTTTTTTTTTTTTGTTTCATTTGGTTGTTTAACAAAATAATATATAACAACAGCTTTAAAGACACACTTATATGACAAATTTCTATAGCTAGATAATGGAGATGTACTCCAAAGACCATGTTTAATGTTGAGCACCAAGCACGCTAATGGATGTTTTTAAATATAAAATGACGAATGATAAATACCTATCTTTCCAATGGTTTCATGTTGATTCTTTATACCTCTCTCTAAAGGTTACTAGTTTAGATAAGAGCAGTTTTAAGAAGGCCACACCTAGCCCTTCCCTATATTTTTAAATAGTCTTTACAAAACCTTTCCAAAAATATTTTTTTTCTCTAAATCACATAGGATTGATTTGTACATGTTTTGTCCTTGCTCTAAGATTGAGTGCCATTGTTCTTCTCAATGCAACAGATTGGCTGCATCAAATCCCACCATATTGATAGGTATATGTCAGCTTTCTATGGGAAAAAGCAAATAGCCTTTATCACAAATTAAAGGCACAGCTATTTTATGCCATTTGTTACCAATTTAATGATAACATGTAACACTGAATGGTTATAGAATTATTTTATATAGATTTTCTTTTTATAAGTTATTCTCTTAATCTTTCTAACATATATACAATATACATATATTTATATATACCCCTGATAAATCTTGTTTTAAAGGTAAAACATCAACTTCTTTCAGCTTTWTGGTGAATCTCAAAGGCTATCAGAATTTTACAACTCCACTGGAGAAATGATGGTCTAGTGGACCTTACCAGTATTTTTTAACATTACGTCATCATTGTGCAATTAACTCAGATTCATTTTTATTGTTGTTACTAACATTTAAATATATATTAATAGTTTATATCATCTCAGTAGGAAATCTAAAAAACAATAAACCCATAACGTTAGCTAATGCTTAATTCTACCATCAATACTTAAAGAAGAGAGAAATCTTTGAGACAACCCTACTGGTATGATATAAAGGGGATATTGCAGAGATGCAATATTCTCTGTTTTTATCAGATATGCACTGACATGAAAGACTTAGCATTTAATCTGAGGTTGATATTTCTCCTTATCCTTGAAACTGAATAGTTGCACTGATTTCTTTCTAAACACCCATGATACATGGGTTTATCTGTGTTCAGACAAAGACTCATTACACATGCTTCCCTGTCTCCAGCAATATCTCTTCAGGRTGGGGAATTAGTGTTTGGTAAAAAATTTATCATTATGAATGCCTTTCCCRCCTCTAAGCATAGCCCTGTTCTAACTCCACGCTGGAGAGGTGTGGGGGAAAATGCTAACCAGAGAGGCCCCTTTGACACCATCTGGTGTTTATTGTTTTACTGCTTATTGGTATGAAATAGTTGTTCGTTCTACCTTTTTGCGATTCTTTAGAACCTAATGGCATAGATTGAGACACAGCACTATTGTTTTACAAGACATCTACTGTATCTACTTTTGTTGGGATAAATACCCAGTAACTGCTGTCATAGCAAGAGGACCAGCAYGGGGTACTACTATTCACAGTGTTGCTTTTGTTTTTTATGTTTTTTTTTCTTTTTTTTCATATTATTTTAATCTACAGAGTAAATTATTATATATACATTGGAACCAGTTAATGCCCTTAGACAATGTATAGTTGTTTTGTAAAGCAGAAAAGACAACGCAGGAGAAATGGGTGCCCAAAAGCACAGTCACAGAGGCTTCAGAAGTTCTAGATACCACTACAAGTCAATGCTGGAGATCACTTCTAAAACAATCAATGTTCAAGAGGAATGCTTTAATTTGGAGAAAATACCACACCCTCCCTCCCCCCCAAACCCCTCCCGCCCTGTTTTTTTTTTTTTTTAATAATCTTTTCATTTCACTATCAAAAGTCCTGGCTCTTCAGATATACTTTAAACTATAAATAAACACTGCATAGTTCTCTTTTGTTTTACTTTTTTTTCTTTTTTTTTGTTTTGTTTTTGTTTTTTGAAAAATTATTGCAGTACAATGACTCCTGTTTGGAATTCAGTAGGGAGCAAACAGCACAGGAGTGTGGGTGGTCCGAATGGGTCCTGGMGCTGGCCGCAGGAGTGCTGGAGGGAGGGCAGAGGTCTGGAACAGCGTGGCTGCTGGAGTAGTTCGGAGACTGAAGGGAGAATTCACTGCCACAGCTGCAGCAGCTGCTGCAGCTGCCAGGGGGTTGGGTAGAATTCTGGGAGCCAATGGCTTTGAAGGTTCTTTTGAAAATACTAATTTCACCTGCAAGGAAGAGAGAATAGGACAAGAACAAAACTTTGGGAGTCTGTTCTTAGAATCCAAAAATGGTAGGCAGCTTTAAAAACACATCCCATCTGATTCAAATGTAAGATATATCAAGATCATTGTACTGTCATGTGTAACTAATTAAAATAAATTTAAAAAATTATAAAAAATTAAAACAAACTAACAAAAACACAGTACTGAACAACTATACAGATGGACTTGCATTTGTAAATTGACAATAAAAGAAATGGAAAGTGTAGAATACTTTCCCTTAGGAAGAGACTAGAGATGGCTGAAAACAGCCAGCCAAGGATGTTTAAGAGTCACCCAGAAAAGTATTCAGGAACCTTATTTTATTCTGGTTGGAAAACATTCAGGGGAATGTATTCATCTTGAAAAAAAAAAAAAAGGAACATTTTTAGGTCACTCTTTTCACACAGATAAAGTTTCAAGGAATGGACATTTTTAAAGAGGGTCATTGTTGCTCCCAGTGCTACTAGACTGTTCGAGTGTGCATGTAAACCAGGTTGCATATGGAATGAGGTTCCRGTTGGATGAGGGACTATTCAAGGGAAATAAAAATAACAAACAGTTACCTTCAATAAAGAAGTGAACTATCTTCCCMAAATTTTGACTCCCCCTCCCTGCCCCTTGTCTTCTTTGCTGGGTGTGTGAAAATGGTCACCACATTCTCTCAATCTTCTTCTACAAAGTCAGTTAATCCAGTGACAAGTAACGTAACATGAGAAAGATACCAGTTCTAAGATACCTGTTCTCACTGGATGGAATGTTCCCATTTATGGAAACAGTAATACAGTCTTGGTTAAGGTGTAGGAAGGGGAGGGTGGGGAGGGAGGGTGCTGGGGGGGAGGAAATATGGTGGAATGAGATGGACAACATTACCCTAGGTACATATATGACTGCACATACGGTGTGATGCTACACGGCATACAATCAGAGAAATGTAAAGGTGTGCTGCAATTGTGTACAATAAATCAAAGTGCATTCTGCTGTCATGTATACCTAATTAAAATAAATAAAATTAATTTTAAAAAGGAGGGTTTYGATTCTAATTGTAACACGATTTTGAGTGCTCTGTGTAAGTATCATTCTGTCGCCTGTCAAAGCTGCCATCTGTGCTGGCTGGGGATGGCACTGAAGGTTGTGACTAGCAGTGCTGAAATATCAACTCTGCACAGAATTCAGTCTCCTAAGGCAGCTAGAAATGTTTCTGCACAAAAAAGTAAAGTGACTTTGTTCGTATAAAATGAGCAATCCTACTAAATTCTTTAGGTCAATCCATCTTGGGGTAGCCTATTATATATAGCCTACAATGTCAGAGGATTTCACAGATTGCCCTTAAAGTTCTACCAAACAATCCCAGTCAGGACATTACCCTACTATGTTTCCTTATCTGAAAAACTATTCCTGGAGTAATAGGGAGAGGGAATTTCTCAGGATACATTTTCCCCAAACCTTTTACAGTGTCCTTGGATGAATAATAAAATTAAGGTATACCCTTCGGATWGTGTTTTAAAAATGGAAACTTATTGAGACCATCCATACCAAGGCTTTCTCTCTTGAACRTGTTAAAAAGACAATTTAATAATTTGTTTTGCACTAACCTTCTTTYCTAAAAGTTTTCACTAACACCAGGATGACATGTCCTAGGACTATTCGCTGGACTTAAAACAGCCTGGTGTTGATCCCTTCCCTGTGCTCAGATAAGCCTGAGCCCAACACAAATAGGTAGAATACTGAGCTGTAGCTAAAGGTGGCAAAATCCTGAAACAAATCATGAGACCAATAAGTCCATTGGTGGAGCAGAAGTTGGAATATAAAAACAATTAGTCTCTTTAGTAACTCATGCCCCAGTTCCAAAAAAAAAAAAAAAATGTATACATATATTCAGCAGAATGTGGGACATTAAAAGACATCACGCTATCTTTTGGGAGGCAGAAATGATACTCACCCCCAGTGGATGTGCTGTCTTTTGTAGTTTGTTGTAAGGACTGTATTTCGGTTTGGGGGGCTTCCCAGCAGCTCTGTCTTTGTGCCTTCTACTGCTAATGTGCTATTAAAGGCAATTAAAAATTACAGCTTTTATAAATTCATCCCCCCAAAATATTTGCAAATATTGTTCTAACCTGGAAAAAAGATAATGATTATTTCATGAAAGTTATAGAAAGACAAAAATAAAAGAGTATGCACTTTTGCCCTTGGATTTTGATACCTTGAGGAGATASATTTTTGTGCTATCCATTTTAGTACATTTTTAACAAATAGAAGGGTCTTATGTTTTTCCCAGCTTTTTTGCCTTATCACTGCATACATCTCCCCCCCCCACTTTTAAAGTATTTACAAAAGAAAGGAAATGTCTGAAGAAATTTTATGTGCAAATAAACAAAGATGCCCAGGCAAGCATGAATTTATTTCCATACCAATATTTATCCTCACATTTGTATAGCCAAATGTCAACCCCTTAAATTCTGAAGATAAATAACTAGGGTGCAAAAATCAGCAAAATAGCTCATATATACATATAAAACAACACAACATGAGGGTTTGGCCTTCAGTTGGAAATGAACAACTGATCTCTTTAAAAGGCTATTCAAAGTACAAATGAATGCAACCTGATTAGATATCCCTTTAGCAGGTGGCGGCAAGATTTGGAAATATAGCACAATACCATGTAGCAAAATACATACAATAAAATAATGGCACAAAAATAGTATAAAATTAGTGACAGCATGCAAAGATATAAAGAAGTAAAAATGGAATTTTGCAAATTGACCTTTAACAAAAATCTACACTTTTGTGTGGGAAACCTGGTAAAGACCTTCTATCCCTTCTCCTCCCACTGTTCACATGCAGGAATAGTACAAACCCACTGCCAGCAATTTCCAAAAGATCCTAGAAGCCACTGCATTTTAGCATTCCCTCCAGCAACTAAAAATGAGCATAAATAACTAAGGACCATGAATAGAAGATACGTGGGTGGATGGGTAGATGGATGGATGGATGGATGGCACAGAGACAGAAATGAGAAGGCAGGAAAGCAGCATGCACATGTTGTTAATAAGTGTCCCCTGTTTGATTTCATTCCTTGAACATGTTGCTGCCTACCTGTTTTAGTTGTGTTTCTGAGTTGACATGCACATCACAGATTTCACAGTGAAACGTTTTGTTCTGGAGTCCCGTGTTTCCCTTATTGACAGGTCCTTTGCCTTTCACTCCTGCCCGAGGAAAGGCTTTGATAGTCCCACTTCCATTTCGRGCTTCTAGCATGGTTTTGTGCTTAGTACCTGCCAGGAATGTTTAGGAAAAAAGAAATAAAAAGAGAGGGACAAAGCCTTAGCTAGCATGTATTTCAACAAACAATATAAAAACAAAATCACAGGACTTGCTTCAATGCAGTTTCTTCCAGGGATTATGGCTGAAATATGTTCATGTCATGCATATAGAAAATTAATATTAAATTATATTTCAGACAATTTATGGTGTAATATTAATCGTTTTTAAATGTTCCATAAAAGAAACAAGCATTCTCCATATAAAAAATAAACTTGAAAGCCCTGAGGCAAAATTAAATGGGTGTGACTCAGTTTCATTTCCTCTCAATGCTAATAAGACATAAATGATAGTTGATGAGGAAGAGTGATTTGGTTGCTAAAGGTAGAGTTGGAGGTGATGTGTAACAAATGTAATCACTTTAAACATAGTATGTTTACAGAGGTGGCACTAATTAAATATCCACTTTCCAAACAGAATACAAACAAGTTTTCTTCGCTGTATATTTTAGGTTCAAAGAGGACGAGCAATAGCAAAAAGATCTTAATGACTCTGCAAAAAAGCCGTATTAGGATGGTAAAGCCCTCACTGATTGGCTATCTAATTTCAGATGTGAACAAGTGACCAAGAAGAAGAAAGGGTAGGCTCAGATTATGCAGACACACTACAAACAAGCACTTCTTTTTATTAAGCCAGTAACATTCTTAGGCTGTCCAACATAATTAATATAACTGTGCTTATCAACTATGAACATTATTTTTTGAGATCATTGTACTTACATAGTCAGTTTGGGTTGGCAGCTTTCCTTCAAAAAGTTGTTCAAAATTTCTTTTGTCTTTTTTTCTTTCTTTCTTTCTTTCACCTAAAGTGTTCTTTATTTTTCTCACTGGGTGATTTGTTTTTCCAATGATATTTTCCTTTACAATCATTTGTATCCTTTCTGCTATTCTGATTTTTTTAAATTATTGTTTCCTTTCTATTTTTATTTATTAGGTACTGGTCAGTTTTACAAACATTCAAAAAGCTCTACTTTTAAGCTATGTACCAGCTTTGTAAAATCATTTACTATTAACAAGGAAGCCATACTGGAGATACTCTTGGTAAGTGCAGATTGTATCATGGTAAATTGGAAGCAAATGCATGAAGAAACTTTCTAGCCATGTTTCCCTCATTCAAAATAATCATAACTTCATTTAGGCCAATATAAAGTATATACACCTGATTATATCTTTACCAATTCAATATAAAACGTTCATTCATATAACTTAGGTTACTCTCTTGGAATATCTATGCTCTTATGCATGATTATTAAAATGTTCAAATCGCAACACATCCAGGAAAGGAAAAGAAGTCAACATCATCCAAGACTAGAGGAACAGGGGCATGGAACCACAAGACTGCTCCATCAGGGGGTGGTGGTGCCTCATTGACGTTTGTTTGGGTCATCTCCCTCGTGATTCAGTAAGCACAACTGCTTCCCAGTGTGTCTGAAGATGGAACAAGTGAGAGCAGGGCCAAAATAAAAAAATAAGTCCTAGAGAGCAAGAAACAAATATGCAAATATGCAGATGGCAATCCAAACTTCTTTATGCCAACTGATGAATTCATAAACAAATTTTCTCCTCATGCAGATTGTTCAGTCAAAATGAGAAGCATTCATAGGGTCAAGAATAAGTAAAAAAAAAAAAAAAAATTTCAGATCTTGACTTTCTCGAGGAACTCTTGGTTCAGTTTGGGTTCATATCATTTGATTCAGAACTGGTCTTTGGTGGATAGGGGTTGCTTGCGCGCACACACACACACACAGAATTACAAGTGCTGCAAGATGGAAGGTGGAGGAACTACCGTTCATCATTAGACAGAGTTGAACTTTTGGGCGCYACAACCTCATGCACTTAAAAACAGATTGTCAGCTGTAATTAATGAGCTATTAGATTGCTTTKTAAGATCTTAAAGCTCAAATAGGCTGTAAGGGTAGGTATATTTCTTCCAAATACAGCTAAAATTCAGTAAAAGTGTACTCAATTTTAAAACACTTATTTTTTGAGACATAAAATGTGCATTAATAGTACAAATACATTAGTTGTTTTAATTCAGATTTATAGAATCTTTAATACATTTCAGATGCTATGTTAATTTTTTTCCTCGCTCACAGGTGCCCTATGAGTTAAGTGCTATTAGTCTTCCCATTTTAGAGACGGCAAAGAGATTCAGATAGGTGGAATTACTTATATATGAACACAAAACAAGCCTTACTTGAAATTCCTTGTAAGTGGAAAGTTGAATCCTAGCTAAGTCCTTAGGAATCTACTAAGAACTTCCAAGCTCTCTGGATGCAGTTACAAACAAATCTTTTTTCAGCACCTTTAATTTTCAATTTTAAATGTACATACAATCTTTAAAACTGGGTTTTAATTTGGGTCTTTCAGACTCCCCACCATCCCTTGCAATGCTCGGCAGAGCTCCTTGAATTGTGATGCTTAGAAAAGCCCTGGCTCTGTGATGGCCAGTGGCAGCACCTCTGGCTTTAGCACACTGTAAACATCTTGCAGAATTGGTGCCCTCCTTGTGGCCACTTGCCAGTCTGTGTCTGCACTTGACTCATTCCTCCTCTGAGGAGAGAATCTGCAAGAAGCCAAGTGGACTGCTTTCCTCTTATTACTTTTAAAAGGCTGACACTGACTGTAACCTTCATTTGAAGCTTCATGATTTCTGAAAGGAGAAACTATATTTGGACTAGGSTTTAAATTCAGCAAGTCATAAGGCTTCGGGAAATCCCACATTTATTTCACTTTTTGCTTAGCTGGGGCAAGACACTGATCTCACATTTGTACAAATCAAAGTCACATCAGAGGAAGGGGCTTGGCTTACCCTTCATGCCCATCAACTTATGACAGTTTTTATAGCTGGMCCTTCAATTAGGTACTGGTATAAAGAAAAGGTTGGGAAGAAGGAACACTGACAAATGATTTTGAATTAATAAATAAATCTGTCATCAGAAATGATTTAGTATGATATTAAGAAAACAGAGAAAAATTTAACAAAAAGAAAACAAGGAACATAATTCTACCAACAAGAGGTGTATCAAAACACTAATAAAGTTTGGATAACTTAGGCAAAGTGGCACTGTATAAATACACCTATGGAATTATATATGTCTTTAGAAATACATGATTGTTAATATTAACATAGAATTTGCAACAGATATGTTTAACATTTATCTAAGATTAGATCTTTGTGCTATTTCCTTTTCTCCTGTGTAATTAAGCTGTTGTAACCAGCATGGTACTTGTTAAATTTTTCATCACACATCTGATCTTTCCTTGGGTTAGATTTCATAAGTTGGACCTTAGGGATGAAGAACATGACTATTTTTAAGGCTCTTGATACAAACTTTCTAAACATCACAATGTTATTTTCAGAGAGATTTATGTTATAGGAAAATCTATCTTGGTATCACCTATAAAATTTGCCCCTCTATTAAACACCTTTCAGTACCTTAAAGTTTAGTTCTCCAGAATGCCCATGAATGCAGTTATATTTAATAGCATTTGACCGGATCCTTAACTAACCCATGCAACTGCCAACAATAATTTAGTTACCTTCTCAATGACAAGTTCAATGATTCACTTTATAGATGAGTGAGCAGGAAAGTGGTCAATATCCACACAAGCAGGAAAGTGCAAAGGTGTTTTGTTTTTTTTATGTGTTTGTTTATGCTATTTAGGAGAATAGCATCATCAACCAACTCTCTTGAACCTATATTTGAATAATTAACACCMTAAGCCTCCATGTGCTCTTCTTGGCACCTTTAAATATGAAATTAACTTTTTATTACCCTGATCCCCTATGTAGTATGTAATTTCCATGTTAATTGCATCTGAATTCTGTCTTACAGAAAAGAAAAAAAATACTACTTTATCAGCTTATCCACAAACATTAAGCGCCTAGATGGACATCCATGATATCAGATGACTAAGTAATGCCCCAAGTGATTAGAAAATCATATTATTTCTGTTAGTTCCCTGTTTGAAAGTAATTTGCCGATTTATCAGTAACATACTGAAGCTCTAATATACAGAAGTGAGACTAGAGACAAGGAAAAGGAAAAGTCAGAACAGAGTAAGGAGAACTGTGTTTTGGGCATCAGAAAAGACCTTAGAGGGAAAGCTATGAAGTTGGGATGGGGATCTCCTGACCCATGAGAGCCAGGGAAGAGCTTTGTAGGCCATGGGATGCAGTGGACAAAGCACATGGCTGGGTCTGCTGAGGAGATGAATGTGAAACCATGGCATCCAAACAGCAGTAACCCTTGAAATCCTGCAGGTGAGAAGTATCAGGCACTTGGAAGTCTCTCTTACCCAGAGTGCCTTCAAATTCTGACTATAGGAGTACCAGGAGACTTGGATCCATCTTCCTGTGTGTCCAACTCATCTCCTTAAACACACAGCCCTTAAGAGTGCAGCAGATGCCATACTGCTTTAGTATCCACTCCACAAGAGAGCCTAGCAAAAAAACGTTTTCACATAGTTTGCACTCCAATCGACAGACAAATCAGTCACACTTCCACACTGAAACTGAGATATGACAGTTTTTTTGTTTACTTTTTCTGTAAACTAGTTTTATTTATTTTATACTTTTTAAATGAAATTTAACAGATGCTCTTGATTAAAAAAAAAAAAAAAATTCAAAGCGCACAGAGTAGAAGACATTAGCCTGCCCAGATTTCAATTTCAAGCTGCATGCCCACAATAGGTACCCATTTGTGGATATAGATTTTCAAGAGTTCTAAATATCAATGACTTCATGTGAGGCACGGGCCAGGAAAATCACAGAGGTAGGACATTCTACTGATTTGCACTTGTTACTTCTTTTAATAAGAATAGTCATGTAAACCTTCATAGTCAGAAAATGTGTATCGATAACAGGTCTGAAGTCACTCATTCTGTTTATCAAACAGTGCAAGGTCAACAAATGTGAAATAACTGAACCCTACAGTGTTCACCAGGTAATT